ATTAAAATTTGTACATATTTTTAAAAAATAAAAAATAATAAATTTGTAGCGGTTACATAACCGCTACAAATTTATTATAACCGCTACAAAATACTAGCAGTTATGTGTACGCTAGAAAATAACTAACAGACACAAAATGTAATAAAACGCTACAAAAAAACCGCTACAAATGTGTCGCTGATCTCTATAAATATCATATCTTCTCTACATTCATTTACTTCATCTCTTTTCTTTCCTCTCCTATTCTTCCTCATAATTCTCTCTTTTTTCTTACTCTCTCATATGGTGGTTTCTTTCTCTTTACTGTATGGTAAGTGAATTTTATTTTATAAGTCATTGTATCTTTTATTTGTTTTTACTTAAAATTTACTAACATATTTATTTTTCCTTTTCTTTCAGATTTTTCTTCCTCACACTTGTCATGCCCTCCTCAACTGATTCAAATACTCCTCAACCTAACACTATAGGTTCAATATTACAAACTATCTCACATTCAATTCAACTATCTTATTAAATATTTAATTAATTATCTTATTAAATTAAATTCACTTCCTTTGACACATTCATAATTTAATTACATATTGTTTATTACAAAATTTAAATATATAAAATGTAACACAACTAATTATACAAATTAACAAAAATTCTTCAACATAATCTATTTAATGGTTTTTAAAATTATAATATTATATTTTCTAATAATGAAAAACCGCAAATTTTTTTCTTGCACGGAAAACATTTCTAGCAGTTGTAAACCACTACAAATATTTCGTGATTCCAAAATTTCTAGCGGTTCAAACCGCTAGAAATTTTTTTTGGCACCATTCCAAAAATTTAATTGGCGGGAAAATTTAATTTCCCCGAATTTTCTAGCGGTTCTTCAACCGCTAGAAATGTTGGCGCGCTAATGAAAATTTTTAATTCCCGGCAAAATGAGATTTGGTTTAGAATTTTTCTAGCGGTTATAAAACCGCTAGAATTTTTTTTTCCTTTTAGCATTTTCTAGCAGTTGGTAACCGCTAGAAATTGTCTAGCGTTTTGACCATGCTGTGTAGCGATTGCCATAACCGCTAGAAATTTTTTCTTGCGCCTGGTTTTCTAGCAGTTTTGTTAACCGCTACAAATGTTATTTGTTGCGGTTAAAACCGCTAGAAATGTCTCACTTTAACCGCTACAATTGACATATTTTTTTGTAGTGCCACCTCCCTTGTTGGGTTCGATTGTCTTTATTTCAAATAGAACCAAACACGCCATATATGTTTTTGGATTTTTTATGATCAATAAACTGATTGATCTGTATATTTTATTATTTGATTTTTGCAGCCTTTTACTGTTTTATTGGTTGATTAGCTCTTTTCATGGACCCCCAAAGCGATTTGACTTCCACGTTTATAACGTTATCAAACACAACGGTTTATGTTTACCTCTTATACACACACATACAGTATTTCATGTCCTAAACATAAGATCTCATTTATATATGATATAATTCATCATTTCATCTAAAAGAACATAAAACAAAAACAAAACAAAACATGCCAAGGCTAAGGATTCAAATAACCTTGGCCATAAGTTTAATTTCTCATACACACACATATACCCAAGAAGAAGGAAAGCATGGATATATATACACGCACATAGAGGAAAGCAGAAGAATTAGCAAGATTAATAACTTAAAGCAGCGAAATACATATAGAGAAGAGTGAGAGTATATATTGAAGGACATGATCGGTGCAAATAAAAGGATGAAACAGTTTAAACTAATTTAAATATTGATTTATCTAATTTCTTTTGACTCTTCATCAAGTCCAATTTGTATAAATTTAAGTAGGAGCATATATTTTAGTTTGAGAACAGCAATAATTAGAGAGAATTTTGTGTTCATTATTGTTCAACCCAGTAATTCTTGATTCCACCCTCTCTCTTTTGTTGGCTCCAATTATCTCTACATTGTTATGTTTTAAAAGAAAAAATTACAAGAACACGTACCGACAATTTAAGTTTGCAAGTAAAATCAAACTTTGCAAGACAGCATCATGTCATCTGTGTTTAGATGGAAAGTAAATTATAATTTTAGAAATGATTTTATAGCATAAAAAATAAACCTGTGGAGACATTTTTGCAACCTTTTCTTGGTTAATATTGACCTTCTCACATACACCGACAGCGACTCGACTTTCCAGTACACTCAATAAAGCTGTCTGATTCTGACCTTTGGTTTTGTTTACCAGCGACTCTTCTCATGACACGTGGCGTAGTGTCGATTCGGGATTCTTCCGCCACACGCAGTTTTATCTCTTCCGTCGACATTTTTTTAGTCAGAAAATTTTTTTATATAAATATATAATTTTATTTTTTATTTATTATTGTATTAATTTTATTTACAAAAGATATGATTTATATTAAATATAGATAAAATTAAAATATTGTTAAATTTTAAAAAAAGTTAATAAAATTTAAAATTTTTTTAATTTATGTTTGAAATGACTCATAAATATGACCAAAAAATATTTGATATTTGATATTTTTAAAAGTGTAATTTTATTTCTTGAGTTAAGATAAAATCAAAAGAAGTATGAATAAAATTATATAAAAAATATGAGTAAAATTGTACCATTAAAAAAGTCAAGGATAGAATTGTATATGAGAAATAAAATAGGAGATAAAATTACTTTTTTTTAATCCATTTTATATATTTTGTATTTTTTGTCAATATCATATTTAAATAATAGGATTAGAAGTATGACATCGGAAAGAAAGTGACAAATAGCATAACAATAAGAATATATTGCTTTTTTTTTTTTTACTCGTTCGATAAATCATATCCCCACACTTCAATTATAATTAGGACCGGAGGTAGTGGTGACTAACGCTCGCCTAATGAATTTGTGGCTATGAGGGGGAAGAAACTTGTCCGTGATAATAATGATGACCGGTGGGAAAAAGATACAAGAAAATTAGTGAAACAACTATTCATGCCTCAAAACAAAATAAGAAAGCCGCACAGAACCTCAAATTCATAAACAAACGTGATTCGACAATAGCTAGGAATATATCCATATCACCCACAAACTTGACATACAAAACAAATTCAAATAACAAGTCTTATAGTTTACAGCTAAGATTCTTGTTTGCAACTATCTAAATTCGTATTTACAACTCATTTTTTTAAGAAATAAATTGAATTATATCTGTCGTTAAATTGATTTTTTAAGACCTAATTATCGATCTTCTTAAAAGTTGGTGATGTTAGGTTGATTTATTAGCATCCACCACATAAAGAGTAAGACAACGTTTTCAGATTTTTCTTATTTAAAGAAAATTAAAAACCGATCCCGAATGAATAAATTAATTATACAGAAATTAAAATCGTATTTAAAGTCATTTAGGAAAATTCCATTTCACCTTGACAAATTCAACAAATTTCTAATTGGTCCATGAACTCAACTTTAATTTTAGATTTGTAAATATTAGACTTTTAAATTATTAAATTGGTTTGACCAAAAACAGATTATTAAATTGGACTTGTAAGTTACAAAGTTGGACTTTTTAATTTATAAATCTATCTTGTAATTGAATGACAACATATGTTTATTAACAAATGCAACTTTGTTACATTTTTTGTTGTGAATAACTAAATTCAACTTGTAGACATATGGATGTTCAATTGTCCCATCCCTATCTCAATCAATCCATGACGGGACAGGATGAAATAGTAACCAGAACAGGACGAGACGTGAGATGAGGTTGTCCTATCCTGTTTCATCTACGTTTTTTTTTTAAAATATTTATTAATAATTATGATTAGATTATTGAATTCACTTATTAGTAATAATTTTTTATAGTGATTTTCAGCTCTTAAGTTGTAGTATTATCTTAACAAAATTTTCTTCCTCAATAAAATAAGTCATAAAGCCATTATATTATACAATGTTCTTTTATAGTATTATTTTTACTTTTTTTATTATATAATTGAGCTTTTTACATATTTTTTAATAATATTTTTATTTTTAGAAGCTCAATAAAAACAAAATTATAATATAAAAAAAAATTATACCTAAAATTACAATGTTTTTAAAAAAAAAAAAAAGAAAATGAGACAGTCTCATGACGGTACACGAGATGAAAATTTTGCCCTATCCTATCCCTATTTACCAAAACAGGATTAGGACAAGCCTGTCATGGTCACACAAACCTACTAAACAATGCAAATTTAATGTAAAGGTACTTCTATTATGAATAATTATGTTTTTTTGATACAATCTATTATGAATAATTAATACGCATTTGTAAATTGCTAAATTAAACTTATTAATTCATCACACCACTTTAGGAGAGGTGCCGCGTAAATATATGAAAGTTCCATAACTCATAAAGCCCTAAAACGAGTCGAATACAGCGCAGGTTTAGATTCATTTGAAGATAGTCCAAATCTATAATACTTATTATTGTCGTGGAAATGAAATGTGATCTTGATTATTTTTAGTAGAATTATGAAAGCATGCCTTATTAGCACTACTTAAAGTTTGATTTATTGTGTCAACTTTTTTTTTCTAAAACATCTCATATATTGCACGTGAGAATCTGTTAGTTAGGAAATAATTTTTCAGCCACTGATTTATATTTTCTAATTTATGCATGTTATTAATCTATTTGAAAACGCATAATTTATACAGGAAACATCAACATACTTTTATGCATCAATATTTCATATATAATAAAAATATTAACACATATTTATCAATATAAAAAACGCATTTTTCAATTTAGAATTTTTAACACGATAAATAAAACCGATGGAAGCGAAATTTGAGGAATTATTTTTCAATCACTCAAATATTCAATAAAAGTATGACGTGTTTAAATCCAAAAGCCATGTGACTGGTCAACACTCGCAAGGATTTGTTGTATTATGGAAGATTCTTTAACGTGATAATACTTTTTTATTCATCCCTCAAACAAAAGAGAACAACAAACAAATTTCAATTCATAAACAAACACAGTAATCAATAACAGCATAGTTGGATAACCTAGGAAGTAGCTAGAAATACATCCACATCACTATTACACGTGGCAACACAACAAATTGAAATGACAAGTCCTAAATATAAAATATATAAAGCTGCGTCACGGCTCAATGGGTATGGGGTTCAAGAGGAGCTGGACGACATATTGTTTGAGAGACTTGCCATTGGTAAATCTGTCTTCTTGATTTTCATAGACAACCTCAATCCCTTGGGCAAAATTGAGGACAAAACCAAGCACGGACTTTGGAACACCATGTGGATTGTTCAGGCACTCCTCATTAATATCCTTCCAATAATTTTTGATGTCTTCATCGAGTATTTTATAGGCTTCTTCTTCTGAAATTCCATACTGCTTCATGCAACATTCCACTCCTGAAGCAACATGCCCTCTCTCCTGCTCAAACTACATGTCCATGCAAAAAAAGAAGAAGGTAAAACTACTTGCATTTGTTTCTTCTAACTAATATAAGGATTATATATATGCTTTATAACATTACTATTAATCTGAAATATAAGGATATATAAAAAGAACAATAGTTTATATACTTACGGGCAAAATTTTGAAGTCTTTATGGCCGCAAAAATTTGGTAATATCTTTTTTTAAATCATGCCCCTCCTTGATTGCAACAAACCGTTGGCATGCTTTTTTTTTTTGGAAAACATTTTATTGTAATCTTTAATTTTAGTGAAGGACGAGATTAGAACGTCATATATTTTCTATAAATTTAAAGATATCAATAAGCACTTCTTCATAACCATAAAATTAATTAATTTTGCCCTATAAGTAAGACTAAAAGAACCATTTCATTTGAAACGTCAAAATTAATTGACATGGCTAGAATCCTTGGTGTCTTAAGTTGTACCTTATGAGAGGCCATGTCATCCATGAGTCTGGCAATAAGTGAGCCAGCCCTAACTATTTTTGGATTTGTGGAAATCCAATCAAACACCTCTTTAGTTGCAAGATTTCCAAGGCCCAGAAATGTAGTTATCTGAAGTGGGAAAGTAGCAGATACAACTCCATTATCCTTGTACTCCTCATAACTTGGAATATAGTTTTCATTGCACCATTTTGCTTCCATCAAGTATGCCTTCGTCAGGTTATAAAACTACACCCAGAAACATGTAATTAACTTCTGAGTTCCAAATCGAATAAAATATAACATCCTTCAAGATCACTTATAGCGTACCGCTTGTTTAACATGTGGGATCACAAAATTTGACGTTCCTTCTTCTGCAGTCACCATTTCCATTTCATTGCATAGTACCGCAACTGCTTCAAACACCACTTTCATGCACTCTGGAAGAGATTCAATTGGACTTGTATCCCATCTGATAATCAAATAATAAACAGAATTTGTCAGTCATGTATAAGATTCAAGAATCAGTGGCAAGATTGTTAAATGGTCCTATAATATATATATATATATATATATATATATCTATGATTAATTAAACCTGTGGAAGGCCTCTGTGAAGAGTTCAAGTTCTTCAAGTGTGCCATAGGCATCATAAGTATCGTCAAGAAGACAGAAAATGGCAACCATTTTGCCAACTAGCATCCTTGCTGTGCTAAATTGAGGCTCATAGGACAAGGCTAAAGACCAAAAGTAGGCCTCCACCAACCTATCTCTAGCATAAGGGACCTTTCTCACAAACTCTGATCCTTCCCACCACCTGTAATACAAATTAAGAATGGTGTTTATTGTTATATCCTACAAGTCATTACTATTTAAGATAACATAACACTTCACTTACTCGGTGATATTGCCAATTTCTTTTTGATGCAGTTGCTGCAGCATATTGAAATCTAGTTTTGCAAAGTTGAGCAAAATTTTGTCATTTTGGGAAGTATCTTGTTGCTGATAGAAAGACATGTAATGCTTTGCCTCTAGCCTACGCAATCTCTTGTGCAGAGGCTGACTTAAACGATGGTTGACATGTGCATGGAGACAAGGGCTCAGCTGGTTGTTATCTATGAGAGATTTCAGGTAAGTGTAAGTGAAATGAAGAGCTTCCTCCAGTATGCTCTCTCCGTGAACCTCAAATTGTGCAGCTTCATACAAGGCCAGCATTCCTTTCACGTCATCTTCGGTAAGATTTTCATTATCAAGCTTTCCCTTGATGCCCTTGAATCTCTCAAACACATCTTGTTCATATGTATGTATATACCAATTAGTGAAAGCGCTTTAAAAGAGAAAAGTAACTCTTCTTATTAAACAACGCAAATATAATAGTGACAAAGTCTGAACATACCAGATGAAACGGGATATCCATGTTGCCTCAGCAACCGAAAGAGTAAAGCCACAAAGTGAAGATTATCACCGCCATCCTGCCTAATAACATTGCTGTTGCTGGTATAAATACTGTGAATCCTTGCCAATGCTTCTTCAATTTCATGTTCGAAGTGGTAGGAAACTCCCAAACGTTGGACCCAGTCAATGAACTCTAGCTTTTCTAAAGGACTCTGATCGTTGGAAGATATAACCTTCTTTAACTTCTCTTTCTGTATCTTATGTTCCACATTGTCATCAACTTCCTGAAAAAATCCCAAACAAGCATGTAATTTTCATATCCTAGCCTACACAGATAGGTAATTTTAATACATGTTTAATTTAAAAAGAAACAAACAAGCTAGCTAGAATGTTCGATCAATATATGTTGCATATAATTATATATATATATATATATGTATATATATAGTATACCTTAGATCTTGAAGCATATTGAAGAAACATATTGCCCCAGATGTTTGGAGTAAAATTGGCACATCTTCTTGTGTTGTCACGATGAGATGCTGCAACAGACATGGCTTCTAGTTTTGGAACGTACGTAATGCGTTTTTGATGGGAAGCTCCTGGTACGTATTGAATCAATTTATAGAGGATTTCATTCATCGAGTCTACTTTCCTGTGGGGTTAGGTGGGGCCTAAGCCATGACTGTACATGAAGTTGCATGGTAAAAATGGATGGGCAGAACAATTTTGAAAGTTAAGCGTACTACTTTTAATTAAGTTGCGGCTTTTTCTAGAAATCGTTGAGACATTAAATACTTCCATTCATGTCGGGGAAATAATTTTCCAATTCAGAATAAGAATGAAGCGTGGTTAAGTTGATCAAACTAAGGGGTTAATTAATTGTTAGTCTCAAGCAGAAGCAATTGCCATAAATTAATAAGTGTGATCAAATTTAACTCTTCGTCATTAACAAACGGGTACCTCCAACTTCCAACTTCTAACTAAATCAAATTAATCAAACCATGTTCATTTTTATAGAAATAAATTTGGGAAATGAAGTCAAAGAGTATTATTCAAATGAAGGATACATGATATGACTTTTGAGGATCTTAACTTTCTTTGGGAAATTTCTCCCTTCCCTAGTGCCTTGAAGGATCTCATTTGAATAATAAATCATGTTTCACAAGCATCAATTGATTTTTCTTCTTTCAATTCAATTGTTCAGGTTCACCTTCAAAATGATATTACAAATGAACCCAAGCCTTGAATTGAATCAATCAATGCGTGGAGATCAACGCATGGTACTTGCTTACGTATTGTATTTGTAGAAATGTCATCACAAGAATTTTCATATTAACATCGCAAGTCATAGACATTTTTGTCATAATATAGTCGTACTAACTTAACTTTTGTTGTTTACTGTGTATTTTCTATTCTGTTGAAAGGATAAATGCTTCCCATTTTTATATCTATTTTTATGCATTCAACTACTTGTAATATTTAATTCATTTTTGTGTGCATTAAGGCATTGTTATAAAATGCGCGCATCGAATTTTCGCTGGGTACCAGAGACATGGATAAATCTTCTTCTCAATAACCATAAAAATTTAGATGAGAGGGTCAATAAAGTAGTCTCTTAATTATATATTTATGGCTGAAACTCAACTATTCCATATTGGCCCAGTCTCGACCATGGCAAAATAACAAGTCTTATATATATAAAATATAGTTTGAAACAAGAGCAAGTCACATGAACTTCAATTAATTCACAAGGACACGCCATCGTTGCATGAGACTTGACCACACCAAAGTAACAAGTCTTACATAGAATATAGACTTTGGACGAGTACGTTAGACCAATTTTATTTATTTATAAAATTATACCCATTCTAAATACTAATGATATACAATTCTCCCACAACTCTGAAATATAAAGCATTTTAAATATATAAGACATTTGAGTTTAAAATGAAATTCTCAGTTCATAATCAAAATTTTTATTTATAACTGTCTGAATTAATATTTGCAACTCATTTTTTAAAAACTTTTATATTTCTTCCAAAAATATAATTTTCGGGTGTTCGGTCCGCCATTGGCATCCACAGCATAAAGAGTAAGAAGCCATTTTTTTAGGATTTTTGTGTAAGGAAAATAAAGTTAGATCACAAATAAGTTTCTTGAGTTTAGTTTATTACTAGAAATTAAAGTTCCTTGCCACTTGGGGATTATGGGAAAAGACATAACTGTCCCTTGACCTGTTGACCATCCTTCCTTTGACGTTTCGAACTTTTGACCACTGTATTGTTGACCCCTGTTGCTAGTCGTCTGGCGCCCCATGTCATCTCCCACGGGTGCTTCCTCAGGGACAACTACTCAACGACGTTCAAGTTTCACCTTTTCTTTTTTTAAATTGTTTTTAATTCCATGTTTAATTTTTTTAAAATAATTTATGTACTAAGCAATCTTTACCTTCAAGTGAGAAGTATCTTTCCATTTCTATTTTACTCTTATCGAATTTTTTTTTTATCACCTTTATACAAGATTAATATTAATTCATGATTATTTAATATTCCAAAAAAAATTCATTCATTCCCACCCCCCACAATAAATGAAATCTTTATTTTCACATTTTGATTTATTTGAGACCTTAGTAGGACAATTTTAAAAAAAAAAAAGGGTTGGACCAAAAGAGACAAATCAAACGTGTAAGAGATATACATGGACCAAAATAATTATCCCCAAAAATTCTCTTTTATGAAACACGAGGACGATATTGAAACCATGCATTTTTTTCGTCTGCGTGGAATCACACATCAAATTTCCTTTGACAATCATGCATATGCAAATGTTATTATCCCATTGGTCGCATTTTCATTGTTCAACTGTGCGCGACATTATTGGTCATCAAAAAAGGAACTGTGCACGGCATTGGAAGGATAATAAAATCCTATGCAAATATAATACTCGTGTTTAATGTAGAATCTGATTGTAAGCTGATATTACGAAGAATAGAACAAGAAAAAGGCATGTAAGATTTATTTTACATGTTTATCAATTTTTTTTTCAAATTAATCCTACTAATATTCTCTCAACAATAATTAAAAAGGAGAGGGAAGAAGAAAATTAAAGAAAATATATATGATGTTTTAAAAAATATATATCATATTAACTAATTTAACTAATATTCTTAACTTACTCAAATTAATTAATTAGGTTTTATATTAAAAAAATTGGAGGTAATATATTGAATATATCATCGTGATACTTTTGGACTTTGCTTGGTACAGAGCCTAAAGCCACGTGATTACTGATCAACACCCGCAAAGATTAGTCGTAGCATTAGACACGATTCTCTAGCGTGGTATTTTTATTCATGCCCGAAACAAAATTAAAGAAAACCACAAACAAACATAATATATCCATATCACCATCAAAGTTGGCACACAACATAACAAACTCAAATAACAAGTCTTATAGTCTATAATGTATAAATAAAGCACCGTCATGGCTCAATAGGTATCCGTGTTGCTTCAACAGCCGAAAGAGTAGAGCAAGATAGTGAAGATCATCATCTCCATCCTGCGTTATAGTGTTTTTGTTACTGGTATTGAAGTTGTGAGTCTTTGCCGAAGCTTCTTCGCGATGAGATGATGAGATGCTGCAAGAGACATGGCCTTCCTATTCTGGAACTGAAATGGCTTTGATAGAAATTAAGCTCTTGATATGTAATGAACTAATGTATAGAGGATTTCAACCATTGAATCTACTTTCATGTGGGGTTAGGTCAAGTGTCAGCGTTAACCGGGCAAGAAGTTTCATGGGGTAGTTAAACGTACAGGCTCATATGGCACAAATAATAGTAGTTGGGAAAAAGGAAATTTGAAATGAGGAACTCATGGACAACGTTGAGAAATGCTTGAATTTAAATCTGGCATGAATAATTATGCGTTGTTAAGTTGAAAAAGAAGGCGTTAACTAAGTCAATCAAAGCCGGATAATTATTAGTCTCAAGCATACACTATAGCCATAAATTAGCCATAAATTAATAAGTGTTGTCAAGTTTTAATTAGGACCCGTTTGGAATGACTTATAAGCAGTTTTTTAATCATAATTTACTGAATATGAGATAAGTACATTAGAAGAATTTTGCCTCGGCTTATGTGAAATGTGCTTATAATCATGATTCTAAACAAAGTCTTAAGTAGTTGTCATCAATAACAAACGGATCGGATCTGTCCAACCACTAATTAAATCAAATTAATCAAACCATAATGTTTGGTTATTTTCATAGCCATAAGTTTGAGACATAAAGTTAGAGTGTTTAATAGAAAGATATATTACTTTTGAGGCTCTTAATTTTCTTCGGGAAATTTGTCCCCTCCATATATAGTAACTTTTTTTTTTTTGGAAGCAAATTCCATATATAGTATTGTAAGATCTCATTTGAATAACAAATCATGTTTCACATGCATTTTTACCCTAATTTTTGAACGCAGACCTTGTGAGTTTGATGCAACACTTGTTCAATTTTTTATTAATAAATTTTGCATGGGGATATTTTTTAGCGATATATATTATTTACTTAACGAAATTTAAATTTAGATCCAAATGAATAAATTAATTATAAATAATTTTCCTGAATTTGATTTATTATTAATAAATTTCTTGGGTGATCTCGACATTATGAGAAAATGCATAATTATCCTTTGACCATCCTTTTCTTTTTACCGCTGTTGACCATCAGATCGCAACCAATTAAGCAGACGGTATAGCAATCTACTTAACTAATAGTATGATTTAACTAAGCGTAAATGAAACTAAATCAAGTTCATAAATAATTTGAAGGTTTAGGAAAGGTGCCACGTAAATATCTGAAAGTTCCATGACTTAGCCCCAAAACAAGCCTGATGCAGCACAGTGTTAGATTCATTTGAAGATAATTCAAATCTATAATACTATTTATTGTCCTGGAAAGGAAATATCATCTTGATCCTATTTAATAGAATTTTTTTTTTGGTACAAACTATTTAATAGAATTATGAAAATAAACCTTAGCACGAAATTTATTATATCAAGTTTTCTTTTAAAATATCTCATGCATTACACGAGAGAATTTACTAGTTATGAAATAATTTGTCAGCCATTTTGTATATTAAACGTATATTTATTAATAAAAAACAAAGCAATTCTCAACTTATAATTTTTAACACAAAACAAAGAAAACCATAGCTGAACTTGAGGAATTACTTTTCAATCACTCAAATATTCAAAATCGAAATGGGTTATATATAAATATATATATGATTAAAAAAGTAATATAATTTAGAACTGATAAACAAGAGGCCCATCGTTAGCCCGAAATGCTTGTGAAGAGATGTTGAGATGGGCCAGTGAAAAATCCAATCCAAAATCCCTATGCCCTCTACAACTCCTGCCCCCCCCCCCCAACACAAAAACAGCAAAGGCCCATTAATCCAATACAGCAGTGTGTTATGGCCCACAAATTCTTTCTCCCTTTTGTTTAATCAAAATGAGGCTTTCCTTCACAAAACCCTAAACATAATTTGCAGATG